AGGAAACCGGAGTACCCGGAGAAAACCCACACAGGCCTGGGGAGAACATGGAATTGAACCCGGTACCTCTGCACTGTGAGGTTGACGTGCTAACCACTGGACCACTGGGCCGCCCTCAGCATTTCATTTTCTTTTTCATTAACATTTGGCGTGGCAGGTTTTAGAGTGCCTCATTGTTGCAGTGTCGTGACTCGGCTGGATATATTTGTACGGGATAAACATGTAGTTTTGTGCAGGTACTGTATAAGAAAGATGCTCTATGAAGAAGCATCCACTTTCCGGTTCGAGGTGGTAATATTTCATTGCCAGTTGACGGTCGAGGGAAGTGGTTTTAGCGCATTCAGCGAACACGCCCACAGCGTTTGCCAGTTTTGCCATTTTGAATCCTATTCGATATGCTTGCCGATTATTTTTTTTTTTCATCCTTCCAGTTTTGCAAGGTTGACAACACTCTTCTCTCAAAGTAACCCTTGCAGGGACAGCGGTTACTACAGTGGACAGCTTATCAGGTTACATGGTGCATGAGAAAGGGTGACGGAGACATTTATTTCCAATTTCAAATCAATTCTCGCTTTCATAATCGGACAACGATAATCGCAACGTTATAACATGTCTCGAATCGGAGTCTTGCGAGGCGACGGCGGTTGCTTTTGCATGTCATTGGGCCTACAATTAGCTGCATCTCCAGTCGGCCGCTCCCAAGTGTTTAAAGACAACGGCAAGTGAAACATTACATCAACTAGCCTGCGGCATTATCCAACTCGACACAATCTGCATATACAGCACATACACTGTGTGTGTGTGTGTGTGTGTGTGTGTGTGTGTGTGTGTGTGTGTGTGTGTGTGTGTGTGTGTGTTGTCACAGGCTTTGATACGCCCACCGTCCACTGGGGAACGAGCGGAATATTCTGCAGGCCAGGTGGTGGGCGGGCGGCCTCTTTCACAAGCTTCCCGCAGCTGTGGCGGAGACAACCACCCGTCGAGACAAGAGCATTGCAGTCGCCCCGTCAAAATCAATACGCTCATCAACTCGCACCGCGCTGGCATCCGCGAGAGGATATTTCTGTCTGGATTGTGAAGAGCCATTTGTTCCGTGCGTTCCATAGTTTGCTTTCGCCGGTCCGAATTTGTTTCGAAACGCGGCCTGTTTTCCAAACAGTTGAAGTGATGTGATGAAAAACAGAACACAAAGTTGTCTTTGATGAAAACTTGCTGCTGCCCAGTGTAATCGTCGGTAAAAATCGAAACACCTGCGGCGGTCACGTAGAACTGACTTTGTCACCGCATGGATTATTGAGTCAACCCGACCACACCACATCAGCATGAGAATAATCTTGCAAGCCATCTTAACAATTGAAACTTCAAAATTGCAGCTCTACGACACAACATCAAATTTCAAATATCTAAATCCAACCAAAAGCGAGTGACCGTTGCCAACTAGAAAGTCGACTTGCCGGTGAGCACGCCAATGCCCTAAGTACTGCTTACACAGAGTCCGAGCCGGGATGTGACTGGAATTTAGCACCCCACCTTGGTCCGATCTATTTTTTTTGGTTTTATTTTTATACTGGTCAAGAGCTGATTTCGGTGCTGCAATGCGTTGCTTGATGCACAACTGCAGCCGGAGAAGTGGTGCAAGCAAACAGCGTTGATTAGAGAGTCACAAGTCTTCCACTCGTGGATTCTTCATCTCTCAGCCTCTGCGGCCATGATGAGGTGGAGCGCCGTTGTGAGCGTGAGCGTTCGTTCGCGCGTGTGTGTGTGTGTGTGTGTGTGTGTGTGTGTGTGTGTGTG